GAAATATGGTTGCAAGTGCAACAAAGATATCTTTCAGGTCAGAAGACTGGTTTTGTCCTTTAGCAGTCCCTTGAAAGGTGCTGGAGTAGGTCAAAAGGTTGTAGAAAAACAGGGAATGTAACCAGCAGGATTAATCGGTACATGTGTAGTTATTTCCTGTCCACACACAGGTAACAGCTTTCAGACCAAATACACTCATCAAATCTGCATATTGATCAAATGGTACTTAGCTTAGCATAATTTGTGCTAGCCAAGAATTGCAGAGTTCTTCTCATTTATTTATAAACTGAATATTAAGATTATTTCTGTCAACAAGGTACTTAAACTAAAGACTTATGGGGCTTTTCCACTGCATGGTACGGCACGGTACGGCTCGGTACGGTTCACTTTTGGGGGGTTTTCCACTGGGTACAGTACCTGGTACATGGTACTTTTTTTAGTACCACCTCGGTTGAGGTTCCAAGTGAACCGTACCGTTACCAAAACGTGATGTGTAAACTCTGCTGATCACGGATTGGCCGGAGAGAATCGTCACTACCTGCGTCACTGAACTTGCGACACAAACACAAAAGAACCGCTAGATTTAAATCAGCACAGCCAGCGAAGGATCGAACGCAACTGTTTTGAACGAACGCACCTTTTTTTAACAACCAAAAAGTGTCTGTTTTGTTTTCTGTTGAGGAAGTACAGATGTTCCTCTCGTTGATAGCAGAGGAGCGGATCCAGCGAGAGCTTAATGGGGCGACGCGGAATGAAAAAGTTTTTCAGGAGTCGTGGTAGTAGAGGCAGCGCAACTATAACGACATGTGAATAATCCCGCCCACTCTAAAGCGGTACTGAACTGCAGTGGAAACACAAACCGAGCCGTGCTGTACCACGCAGTGGAAACGCGCCATAAAGGGTCAAAATAATAAAATATAGTAGGCTACATAAAGTTGTACAGATACTAAAACATGTGTATTAGCGGTGCTTGCTAAGGCTAGCCTCACTATTACTGTTGCAATATGAGGTTAAAGATTTGAACTAAACATTGTTCACAGACATAAATGAGACCTCAAATCCTGCAGCTAGCTGAGTAGAAATGCTAATACTTAGCAATCAGAAAAGCTGTTGATAAAAGTTAAAAAAAACACACAGCAACATAATTAACATTGTGCAGATGTTTTAATTAATTTAATTTAGAGTCCGAATTAGGACCCCAATGTGTTGTCAATTGGCTACAAAAACTTTTAATGGGCACTTTATTCAGTGCCTGATTTAAAATCTCAACAAATGTTGTTATGACCACAATGTCCTCTAAATTGTCATATGTAGTAGTAAATAACCGAAGTTATAGACTGTGAAATTAAACATTTCTCATTCTTTATTCATTTAGATTCTGTTGCTTACTTTTTGCATGCTGTTTGTTGTACTAGCTTATCATACTGCTAGCTGATTAGCCTGCTAGCTTAGCATATATAGCATCCAAATAACAACATTTGTATTTAAAAATGATTTCTTGTGATGTTCAGTGTTATATTTTTATCCATATTATTATCCAGAGTATTTGTTTCATCAGGCATTAAGAGTGTACCTCAGGCATTAAAATTTTAGTGACCTAAATCTCTAAAACGCTAGTGAGTTTTGCCCATTCAACCACTCACATTTTCTTCTGAAATGTAAATATATTCTTTTGGTTTATTGTTAAATACACAATCAGTCAAAAATCAAATGTTGCTGTATCCCTGCAGGAAAAAAATAAGCTAAAACCAGCCTAAGCAGGGGTGAGTTTCCCAAAAGCATTGTTAGCTAACTATGGTCGTTAGTTCCATTGAACTCTGTCAGTAATGACAGAACTTGCGACCATAGTTGCTTTTGGGAAACGCAGCCCAGGTTGACTGGTCTAAGCTGGAAGTAGCTGGTTTTAGCTGGTCTGACTGAGCTGATCAAGCTGGTCTCCAAAACCAGTATGGCCAAGCTGGTTTTGTCTTGTTTGTCAGCTGGTCTCCTAGCTTGACCAGCTAACGAAATGGTCAAAACCCATCTAAAATCAGCCTGCAAACCAGCTATGACCAGGCTGGAAGACCTTTTTTTCAGGAGGGTCATCAGGCATAAAGTTTGGTTATATCTCTTCGTGGAACGAACTATACATTTCTCACATTTTCTTCTGAATTGTAATTTGGTTTATTGTTGAATACACAATCAGTCAAAAATCACATGACAGAGTTGGTTGCTTGAATATGTTGCTGTAATGTGCCACTTTTACATTGATTTTTAGCAAGTACACTTGTAGTGGGTCGAAAGGTACTTTTTTGTAATTCTTCAATCTGCAGTACTGGAATTACTCATCGGCTATAGCCATTTGTACAAATGTGGGTGGAGTTTATGTGTCTGATTGTGCATTTGCTTGTGCAAAATTGCAAATGCGCGTTTGAGTGAGAGAACAGACTTCCAGAAGTGGTTGATTACCCTTTGAGCCAACTACCCACCACCTACTATTTTATTGTATTGTAAAGTTTGAGGTTTTATACTTTGTTTTACACTTTAATAGCATGATTTTTTTCCATTTTAGCCAGTTTTGATGCATCTAATGTGATGAAACCATTTAAAAACCTGAACCTCATCAAAGCAGATATATTTAGCCTGAGAACATTCTCACTAATGCTTGGTATCATTGCCACAAGTTTCGCAGGAAGCTGATTTTATAAACTCTGGCATGCATCTTCTGAAATGTGATGCGACTGACAAAAAAAAAGTGGAAAAAATTACTAATTTTACTTACAGTTTCTCTTAAAGTGCTAAAGAGAAGTAAAGAAAAGAGGAATTTACATATGCATGTACTTTTGATTCGCTATATTTTGATACACAGGGTAAGAATTCCTATCTTGAGTTATCAATCTCTTTGAATTCTCTTCACTAATAATCAACCTTTAAAGTTCATTACTATCTTACTGTGTTATCTGTGTCCATACAGTCAGTAGGTTGTCACTTTGGGTTTCATCTTTGCACGCCTCTCTCTCTGTGCTACTTCCTCAAACAGGCGAGAAGCCAAAAAAAGAGAGGAGAGAAAAAAAGAACAAGCAAGGAAGTGGTATCTTGCAGCACTGCCTACATGCAGAGTAGCTTGGAAAGTGAGAAATAGTCAAGAAGCTACACATTTCAAGTTTTGTAAGCCATGTGAGAGAAGAAAATGTTTGAGTTTGACATCACCATTGAGTCATTCATGTAAATTGAGGAAGAAAAATCAATATCAAAACGAAACCTTTTTGTGTGTACATGACCCATGTTTAAATCCAAAAATGTCACTTCTCATGAGACATTCACATATTATAGATTAGTTTGGTCACATTAAGTAAGCAAATCAGTGCATAGAAGATATCAGTCATGCAAAAGAGATCCTAAAATACAAAAAAATGTAAATATACGTTAGCAGATATGTTTATACTATTATGGGATACAAAGCCAAACCCTTTGGCCATGATTGAATTCACAATATGGCTTCCAGTAACGTATCGATTTTATAACATTGTTACAATGTATAAAACCACTGAAGTCACAAAGTGACAGCAAAATGTCAAGAAAATTTAAACATGTAAAATATATATTAGTATTAGCGGTGTGTGGTGGACTTACGAAGCGAGGAGGCAAAGTCACATCACTGGCTTTGGGGTTTATTAATATTTATCTTTTTGGACCATAAGTCAATTCCTCGCAGGCACAGAGGTGTAGTTTTCATTTAAAAGACTAGAGTGGTCGCCACCTTGCCCACAGATCTTTTCGTAGTTTATCATTAACGGAGTGTCTATTTACACTAAGTGCAAATAGCCCGCCTTGTTGGCAGAGGCTATGTACACTAGCTCCACCCACAAACGTGTGCTAGGAATGGTCAACACTATAAAAGACGTCCGACAATCATCAACTTCAGTTGCGTAGATGGTAAAGCACGTACTGTGGGCTTTTTGATGCGATCGACCCGGGTTCGAAATCCGCCTTTTACCGAACTTTTTTTCTCCCTTTTCAAATCTCATATCACTTCGTGCAAATAGCCGCTGCCTATAATTAATTTGTGTATATATTCGCTCGACCCATTGAGGCTGATGTGGTATTTCGCCCTCCTCACAATCTTGCCACGCGTTAGAATATCATTGAAAACACAATGACAAAATTTGTTTCTTAAACACTAACTGGGCTCGTGTTTTGTAATTGTTGTATTTTTGGCTTCTGTATTGATAATTTTCTTATCCAAATTTTTTAGGAGCCACCACCCCTGTAGAAGATGGCTTTTTCTGGTACATTATGTACTTATGTACACATTATGTATGTATGTGTGTGTGTGTGTGTATATATATATATATATATTTATATACAGTGCCTTGCGAAAGTATTCAAACCCCTTAATTTTTTTCACATTTTGTTATGTTGCAGCCTTGTTAAACTGCTTTAAATTACTTCAATCTACACTCCATACACCATAATGACAAAGCAAATAACAGGTTTTTAACATCAACATATATATATATATATATATATATAGCTGTCTGAATGAAGTCTTTAGCAATGCATTTTAATAAACAAAAATTTTTATATCAAAAAGTTTTGATATATTTACAGTAGGAAATTTACAAAATATCTTAATGGAACATGATCTTTACTTAATATCCTAATTATTTTTGGCATAAAACAAAAATCGATCATTTTGACCCATACAATGTATTGTTGGCTATTGCTACAAATATACCCATGCTACTTATGACTTACTTATTTATACACAATGCCTTGTGGAAGTATTGTAACACTTTCTTTTCATTTGATTTGAAATGTTCACACATTCAAGTAGAGGTGATTTTAGTTTTAAATGTGCATCTTCTGAAGGTGCTGCTCTCACTATGGATGCTGGTCGTCAGAAAAAAAAAGCAAAAATGAGATCATTTTCTCTCATTTCCCATTTGAAGGACGACACAGTAGAAGGCGAGAGATGTGTGGCGTAGATGAAAATGCAACTTCCTGTTAAGAAAGGGCCTTAACGCAAAGCTGAAGAGGAGAGTGTCTCTGACACTGCTCTGCTGTCTCTAGACCCAAAAAAAACAGCTTAAGGATTTTTTTGAAGGTGAAAACTCACCGGCAACAGAACCGACAGATTAGACACATGAGAACACGTAAGACACGTATAAAAACAGAGCAAGAGAGACCAAAAAGCCAGTACGCTTTCTGACGGTTAACTTAGATCTGTGTCTGTTTCAAATAGGACATATGGTGTCTTAGAAGCGGCTTTTGAACTCTTGGATATGGCGAGATTTTTTGCGCTAGGACCCTTGGTTTTGGTCCTATGCTTGGTCTTATGTAAGTACAAAATTGTATTTTTACAGGTTTTTTATTATTATTTTTTTGTATATATATATTTACAAGCAAATTTGCGATGGTATATGTATATATATTATCATTTTTTAAAATTATATTTACTGCTGTGTTTTGTATTATGTGGCATTTTGTGAATTAATTGTTCGCATAACTTAAAGAAGGTCATTGTCGTGGTGTAGATTCATTCATATTTTGGTCCAGTTTCTGTGTTGTGTGTTATTAGTTTATTGAAGCTTATTTATCATCACTAGCCGTAACACTAAAATACTAACATAAAATTAATTAGTGAATGAGTGTTTATTCGAATCTTGGCAGGGATGTCAATGATAATTAAATCGTAATGTGTACAAGCAGGGCAAGCATATTTTGGCGCCTGAGTCCTCAATTTATTTTAAGTATTGTTTGTTAGAAATATTATTATTCTACTGAGAATCTCCACCGTTGTTAACCAAGAAGAAGGGGAATTCTCTTTAGACGGCCAAAGTGAGAAGTTGTTGCTTTGCACAGCATCGGAGTAAAGTCAGAGCTTGCGAAATGTTGCAAAAGAGCGCTTTGCAAAATGCCTAACGTGATTTTTTGAAAGGTTCTGTGGCGGGACACTTGTGAGAGGTGTGTTAGGTTCTAGTTTGTATTACCTGGTAAAGGAGCTGTCAAAGATCTGGCTGGTTTGGGCGTATCCCCTCAAACTCGCTCAAGGTTCTGCTAGATTTGAGCGGTGCGGAGGCCGAGCTGTCAGTCAATCATCCCTGCTTTCACATGGCACAATCTGATGGATGCTGTTGAGGATCTCCTTGTTATATAATAGAGTGCTGTTCAGCTGTCTTGAAACTAAAGGTTCTCATGTTCTTCTTGTGAAGAACCATTTTTGATGTTCTTGAGTTGAGTCCTTTGGAGTATTGTGGGAAAATTGCATCAGGCTATTGCATCAGCAACTGAAATTTGTATTTTTTGCATGTTTAATAATATAATGTAATATATATAATAATAATATAAAAGCGAGCGAGAGAGAATAATAATAATATCATCACATGGCAATATCACAAGTTACAATATCAAATCACAAAAAAAAAAAATCAGTGATCACACATGATTTTTCTTAAGACATATTTTGAGTGCACATTAGGTATTCTATTCTATTCTATTCTATTCTATTCTATTACAGTATATTATTCATTTGAATGTCTTTTGGGTGTCACATTGCATGATACTGTTGAACATGATGCCTCGCTGCACAGGCCTCTGACCACTTCCTCGTTTCATTTTGAGCCGGTTTCTGCGTCTCGTAGATTTGCCGGCTAAAATGGTGCTTGCGCGAGTCGCTGAAGAAGTGCCGTGAGACATGTTGCATCGAAATGTCTTTTCACTATATTTAAAAGTGTTGTGGCTTGAGACCGGATGAGAATCCTTGTGACTGCACTGTACATACAAATCACATAGAAAAGGCAGAAAGGCATCGAAAGATGGGCGTACATGTGAGATCGGGGCCTTAAGAGTCAGTGCTCATGGGAATATTCCTGAAATCTACTTTTCAGGCTTATTTCAGTGTGTTTATTTGTCCGTATGTTTATTTAAAGGAAAGGCTCATCTGAAAATGAATATTCTGTCATCATTTACTCACTTTCATGTTGCTCCAAAACTGTACGACTTTCTTTCATTTGTAGAACACAAAAGAAGCTATTTAGAAGAATGTTCATGCTGCACTTTTCCCTACAGTAAAAGTTAATGGTGAGGTTTTGAGCCTCAAAAATGACTAAATGTATCATAAAAGTAGTTCTTATGGCCTCTGAAGTCATACAATATCTTTGTGCAAGGAACAGGCCGAAAGTCTTAAATCTTCATACAAAAATCTATCATATGACTTCAGAAGACTAGGAATATACTGAATGTGGACTTTGTTTGTCGTTTTGTGTTATTTGTGGAGCTTGACAGCTCATGGAAACCAGCAGCATAAACATACAACATCATCTTTTGTGGTCTACAAACAAAAAAGGTAAACGATGACCCAAAAGGAGTTAACTATTCTATCAATTACTAATTATGTGAATAATGCTGGATGAAAATTTGTGTTTTAATTTTGAACATTGGTATATGTTAGATAGATATACATTTAAAAATGTCAAAAATATGATTTAATATGACCAAATCAACCTGACTCAAATAGGTTACACCGACAAATTTCAAGTGTGAAATCAGTTAAAATGATCTCCTCAAGGTATCAACTGCACAATGTGTGTGAAACCACTGAGGCAACAATTAAATAATTGTTTTAGCATTTCCTCCTTAGCGTCTTGCCTTAAAAGAACTCCTAACTTGCCAGTTTCTAAAACTTTACACTTTATTACTTGGTTTTATTACATTATTAAATTTTTACAATCAGCTGATTTTTGATTATTACCATCATTTGTTGTATGTAAACACAATTAATATCAGGTCAAGTCTTGTCATTGGATTGATTGTTGATTTCACGTCTGCATCTTAAGAATGAGCCGTTTTAGTCACGAAGACTGTACGTACATGAACGTACATGCGGTATATATCTAGGCCTATGTCGCATTGCGTTGACCCAGTGTGCATTATTTTCGGTTGTGGGCGACTGCTTTGTCTTCGTTAGTTAGGAGACTGAAAAGAAGTGGCACAGTTTTTACAAACTAACAATTATTAAAAAAAAGAGAGAGAAGACTATAAAGTTAAATGAATTTAATTACTGTATTTTTTGACCTGTATGTTCCGTTAACTCGCTCTCACACTATCTGCACATCTTTGTGTGTTTTTAAAGATGGTAGATACGTGTTGCAACCTTGGTGTTGAAGTAAAAATAGTGATTTAAACAGAACGTTTAAGTCTGATATGTCAGGAAAGAATTAGTAAGGACTTGAATGGTGTTTTCCTGTAGCTTCATGGCTTTTAAATAGTTTTCAACGATTCTTTTTGTTGTCTTTGGGATTTTGTGCTGCTTATTAATTGTTAGGTAGTTGTTAAGTTTAGGTGTTGGGTAGGATTAGGGATGTAGAATATGTTCATGCGGAATATGTGCTTTATAAGTACTAATAAACAGCCAATATGTTAATAATATGCATGCTAATAAGCAACTAGTTAATAGTGATAGTTGGTCCCTTTACTAAAGTGTTACCAAAAATAACTTGTAATAATAGTAAAATTACTGCCTTAAAATTTTGAGTAATGGTGCCAAAGTCAAATCTTGCAGTGTTTGATACACACTTTCAACCATTTGGAATGAAGACAATCAGGTTAAACTCCAAAATTGATTAGAAATGACATAATATATTGTAACTTAAATGATTAAACCAAATAATGCTGAAAACATCTGTTGGGGAAGCTATTTTTCAGATTTAAAGGAATTATTTGTACTTTTATAGTCTAAACATGAGCTTTAATTATTGTTTAAAGAGGTGTGTTATGTTACATTACATTATTATTACAAATATGTAATATGCATTGTTTCAATAGCCAATGTTTGTGAATATAGCACAGTTTGGAGGTTTAGATCAAACTTTAAAAGCAGGTTAAATATCAACTTGCAGGAGATTGATGTTTTATGTGAACCTCATTGCGATTACTGTGACAAGACAGTCAAATTAAAATCTTTTGAAAGTGAACGACAAGACAACTATCAAACTGGACATTTAAAGTCACTTTTCTCATTCTGTCATGTTCCATGTAATGGGTGGACCTGCTAAAACAGCTACGCTCAAGATGCATGCGCTTCAAGTTGTGAACCAAGTCGAGCAAAACCACATCCGGCAAAGAAAATAAGTGAAAAGTACTGCTACTCTGAGCTAAAACTACAGTTATCCAGAGTTAAACGTTAAAGAAAGCTGTTATGAGATTTTAAGAATTCTAAAAAATAATAAATCTTAGCAATCTTAGTATCAAAAAATACCAAACCTTTCCACAAAATACTTGATCTTGACACTGCATTCGATTAGTAGTCTAGTGAACTAACATTTTACAGTGTTCTGTTTGTAGTCGAAGCTCTCATGTAGAAGATTTAGAAGAGTTGCATAGATATAATTTGCATGTCTATAGTCTATAATCTATAATTATCTACCCCCACCCACACGAGTACATTTGACCCCTCCCCCTTCCGCACACGCACAGTGAGTTATATGACCGTATATATATATGCCAGAAGCACATATACGCAGTGTATACTGAGCCGAACAAAAGAAAAGAAAGCAAAGCACCAGAGCCTTGAGAAGGAGGAAGGGTTTTGTCGCGCTACAGGAAGCTGTGGTTGAGAAACTGAAATAGTTTGTGTGCACGCTGTGTTTCCATGGCAGCCAGGTCGCACCACATACAGACCACTGCTAGTAACTCCCTTCCCCTTTCTGACCAAAGCGGACCGTTTTTACAAGGAGTCTTGAGTTTCAAAGAAAAGAGATGCGGAATATAATGCGAAGGTGTTTTTTAGTGCAATAGTTGATTTGTTTTTAAAATAAACAGAGCTTTTTAGTTGTCAGGGAAGTCGTTTATTTATTTTTTAGCTAAATAATTTGTATTAAGCAAATTAGAATTGGTAAATAATTGAATATATTGCCATTGCTACACTGTATTTTTTTTTTCTTTTTTAGTAAGCAAAGTAGTAAATAAAACAAGGATTTTATAGGTTTTACAAGAAAATACTATTTAATTTACGCACGTTAAAAAATAAATACGACCTCACGTTGTGTCAATCACGTTTACACACTGCCTCTGAAACTTCCGTCCGTCATAAAAAAATTGGATCGGGTTAAATTTTCTGTGTTTTCCGATATTCTGTAGCAAGCATTTTGAGAGGTGTTTGTGCGTGACGAATTTTTAGGATGACGCATACGGAAATTTCAGACACTGTGTGCAAGGACCTTAACTTACTCTACATGTCTTTATAATTATTTGTGAAATTTGCTAGCAATTTCTGAGTGAAAATTGTTTCTACACAATTTTTTTCCCCTCGGACCATCCAGTTTTAGAGCACAAATTTCAATAAATTCCATACATTTTAAATATTCTGTAAATTCCCTATATCATCAAAGCATAATTTTCTGAAATAATTGCAGTGCTGTTGTAGTGAATTTTATCATGTAAAACATTGGCTTCATCAAAGGAGTTGAAAGTGTATGACTTGTTAGAAGACACTTTGGTCTGTTGTATGAGTTTGTAGTTTTAGTGTATTTGTAGTTAAATCTTATACTGGACCACCTAAACTGAACTTGCTTTTCCCTTCAGTCACATGCCCCTCACCCTCACACACTGAAAAAGACAAAAAGCAGAAGCAGGTTATAGTCTTGCAGCAGTTTGTGAAGGATAGGATAGTGATAAGGATGTATGAGATGATGAAAAGGAGAAATCTTTTTAAAATCTAGTCAAAAACATGTTGCAAGTTCTTAGATTTAAATGTTTAAATTATGGTGATGCTTCCAGTCAGTTGTGTATCACTAATGGTTATGTATGTGTGTGTGTCTGTGTCACACTTTTTCTTTTATATAAGGCTGTATTTTTGGGTCAGAAAATGTATATACAAGTTAAAACTTGATGCTTAGATATTGTTTCATGTTGTCAATCCATCATTACAGTCCCTCAGTCAGACTCCTCCACTTTTCCCAAAGCATCAAACACACCTGCAGACACCACCGAAGGTAAAGCTGACATCAAACTCACACTCCTGCATGATTATACTTTCACACACAATCTCTCACACTCTGACTTCCAGCTTTCCATCATGCTGTGATATGAGCACGTCACTGATCAAGTGGTTTATTTATTTAGATATTTCTTTATTCATTCATTTATTTTGTATGTTTTGTTTTCTAGTATTATTTATTTATTTTTGAGAGAGCGGTAGAGCGAATGACCCAACAAGAACTTTTTAGGCTACACCAGGCTTCACATTTAAGATCCTGTGATATAATTAATATTAAGCATCTGTTTTTTGTTCATCAAAAAGAAACCCAGATCCTGTGCTTTAAAAGTGTATGACTTGCTAGAAGAATCTGCTTTGGTCTTTTGTATGAGTTTGTAGTTTTAGTGCGCTTGTAGTTAAATCCTGTACTGGACCACCTAAAATGAACTTGCTTTTCCCTTCAGTCACAGACCCCTCACCCGCACACATGGATCCACAAGTCACAAAATCAAGCGAAACAGATAATAGTCATTCTCTTTGACATGCTATCTTGCAGCAGTCAGTGACAAGTAAGGATGTACGAGACAATGAAAAGGAGAAATCTTATTAAAATCTCTTTTAAAACATGTAGCGAGTCCTTAGATTTAGACATTTGTTTCAAATGTTTATAATATTTCTACAAAAAAATAAATCAATAAATGAAAGATATTAACTCTAAATATGTGAAGTGGCGACCATCAAGCACAACACTTAAAAATGTGTTTTATATATTTAAAAAAATAATATATTTGTATTATTATATTGTAATTATTATCATTTAAACATATTAAACATAAACATATAAAAAAAATTATACATGCAAATATTAACTATAAAATATTAAGCAGTTTTTCAACTTTGACTTCCCATATATTTTATTGTTGACATCAAAGGTCATTGAATGTCTTTTTATTGTTGGCAGGGAATTTGAAAGTGCACGACTCGGTAGAAGAAGTTTCTTGATCCTTTGTATAAGTTTGTAGATTGTAGTAAATCCTATACTAGGCTACCTAAAATTAACTTGCTTTTCCTTTTAGCCACAAGCCCCTCACCCTCACTCACTTCTACCCCAGTCCCTAAATCAAGTGAAACAGGTAATAGTCCTCTTTTGATATAATTTTTTTGCAGCAGCTGCTAGATAGATAATTTAATTGTTTTAAAAAAGTTTTTATTTTTTTTGAGAACAAAATAAAATGAGTACTGTACTAATACAATAGTTAATAAATTTGAGATTGGCTTCAATACCTCTATCTTTTATCATGCAAGATATAGGCTTAATTCAAGAGATTTAATTTGAGCAACTTGCTAGAAGAAACTTCTTTGGTCTTTTGTATACGTTTGTAGTTAAATCCTGTACTGGACCACCTAAAATAAACTTGATTTCCCCTTCAGTCACAGACCCCTCACCCACACACACTTCTAAACAAGACCCAAACCCAGAAGAAAACGGTAATGGTCAAACTCAGTAGTTTTTTAACAAGCAAATATCCCTTACTGGACTACCTAAAATGAACCTGCTTTTTCCTTCAGTCATGAGCCCCTCACCCCCACTCACTTCTCAACAAGTCATAAACCCAGAAGAAAAAGGTAAAAAAAATAAAAAAAAATAAAATATAACGGTATTCAGTTTTTAATTTCCTATTTTTCATCATTTTATTGTACACTGGACAAGTTAAGGAAATTGCAATTTTTTAAAATAGGCAATGTATTCATTTCTGTACTCATTAGCTTGTTGTGGTTAGTACTGCGTTTGGTTTATTTATCTGGCGGAAAATTGGTGCCAACTTTATTCATATAAGGACTGTATTTGAATCTAGTTTAAACTATGTGATCATGTCAAATAGGTTCTTCTGACTCACCCACCACCATGCAACCCACTTCACCTACTTACACCGCCTTACCTACAGGTAATCATGACACCACACATCACCACAGCAGACACACAGTCAGTCTAACTCATGACCTCTGACCTCCATCCTCCCTTCATACTGCATTGCAACCTCCCCATCACTATCTCATGGATGTCATATGTCATGGATTAGTTGTCATGGACAGTGTTATATTTTTTATAATAAATTGGATTTTTTTTCTGTAAAGTCTGTTGAAGATGAATTATATGTAAATAATGCTGCTAACAGATGTTATAATGAGATATAATGGGTAAGTAGCTGCACGTCATGCAGTAATTTCAGTGCAATCACCCTTTGACACAAAAATTGTTTACTTTCTTCATTCCTAGAAATAATTAAATTAAATAATTAAAAGTTGCATGATTTGCTTCTGATTAGGTTAATTAATATCATTATAATATCTATCTATCTATCTATCTATCTATCTATCTGTTCTGACAAAGTTAAATAATAGTTTTATCTCACACTTTCCACAGGTGGAGCTAAGAATGGTACAAGTAAGTGTCACCCAATTTCTGTTATTCTGTTCCTGATTTGAACTTATGAGTCAGAAAATCTATATCAGTGAGAACCTGATATGCTTAGATATTGTTTCCCGGTGTTCATCCATCATTACAGACACTCATTCAGACTCCTCCACTCTCTCCAACACAACAAACACGCCTGCAGATACCATTAAAGGTAAATCTGACGTCACCTCATCAAACTCACACTCCTGCATTATTATTCTCTCACACTCTGACCTCCATCTTCCTATCATGCCGTGCTACACACACATAACTGAACAAGAAGCTTTTATTTATTCATTTGTTTGTTTGAGCTTTTTAATCGCTAATGTTAAAGCACCACCTCTGTTTCGTATGTGATTTCAGTCAAGACCCCAGTGGCTATAAGAGAAACGTTTTATTTGATCTAATAACCATTGTCATTTAGGGACGTTTGCAGACCAGACAAACACATCAATCTCACTCCCACACTCCACCTTGCAACAACAAAACACCAACACCTCTGCAGGTAACAGTGCATTTAACATTATACAGTATTTCTGCTGATTTTATTATTATTTACCAGTTTATCAGTTTTCAGTCTATATTATGTAAATAAATTAGCATTTAGTTGAGCTTATGCAGTTTATAGTAATAATAATCAATTTCAGTTTGAATTATATTTTTGTACACTGCAAAAATCTGGCACTATGTTGGGTCACCACGTGATGTGCAACTTCCTTAAATCCCATACTGGACTGTGTCAACATATTTATGAGATGAAATTTTTGTTTGATCAAATAACCATTACCATTTTTACTAAAGATAAAATCCTGACATCCTCACCCGCACCCACCTCGCAACAACACAACATAAGCACTGCTGCAGGTAACAGTGTGTTGAACATTATATTACATGTTTATTTAGTTTTTTTGTTTTTTTTGTGTATATGTACCGATTTGTCATATTTAATCAGTTTATATCATTTAAATCATTTTTTGATTATATGCAGTTTATGGTAATAATAATCAGTGTTAATGACAATTGTGTACAATACAAAACTCTTAATATCTCATACTGGACTGTGTCAACATACATGTATTTATGAGAGAAACAATTTATTTGATCTAATAATCATTATCATTTAGGGAGTATTACTGATAATAACCAGACAAACACTTCAGTCTCACTCCCACACACCACCTCGCAACAACAAAACACAAGCACCACTGCAGGTAACAGTGTGTGTGTGTGTGTGTGTGTGTGT